CTGAAGCCTAAACCCTAAAGCCCCAAACCCCTGGCCTGAACCCTGAACCCTAAACCCTAAACCCGAAACCCCTAAGCGCTAAACCCTAAAGCCCGAAACCCCTAAAGCCCGAAACCCCTGGACCCTGAAGCCTAAACCCTAAAGCCCGAAACCGCTGAACCCACAAACCCTGAAGCCCGAAACCCCTGAACCCTAAACCCTAAACCCTAAACCATAAAGCCCGAAACCCCTGAACCCTGAACCCTAAAGCCCTAAAGCCCGAAACCCCCGAACCCTTAACCCTAAGTTTTGGGCTTTAGGGCTTTAGGGTTCAGGGTTCAGGGGTTTCGGGCTATAGGGCTTTAATGTTCAGGGCCCCGAACCCTAAACCCTCAAGCCCGAAATCCCTGAACCCTAAACCCTAAACTCTAAACCCTACAGCCCGAAATCCCTGAGCCCTAAACCCTAAAGCCCGAAATCCTGAACCCCAACCCCAAACCCCTAAAGCCCGAAACCGCTGAACCCTAAACCCCGAAAGCCCTGAAACCCTAAAACCCCAAACCCTAAACCCTAAAGGCCCCGAACCCGGCAGCCCACACCCTAACCCTAAACCCTAAACCCTAAACCCTGAACCCTAAACCCTGAACCCTAAACCCTGAACCCTAAATCCTAAACCCTGAACCCTGAACCCTAAACCCTAAACTCAGACTCCGAAACCAGGCAGCCCAAACCCTAAACCCCAAAGCCCCAAACCCGGCAGCCGAAAAACCCTAAAGTCCAGGTGAGTGGTGGTTCTGGGAGCTTTGCGCGCTGGCCGCTGGGCCCGGCTTTGGGATTCCGTGCTTCAGACGGTCCGTTTTGGGAGCCTTTCATGCTGTCGTAGGTTTAGGGTTTAGAGGGTTTCAGGGTTTAGGGTTTCAGGGTTTAGGGTTTCAGGGTTTGGGGTTTAGGGTTTGTGGTTTAGGGTTTCAGGCTTAAGGGTTTAGGGTTTAGGGTCTAGTGTTCCAGGTCTTGGCGTAACGTGAAGGACGAGCCCCATGTAGACTTAGACGAACACCCTTAACCCTAAACGCTGAGCTGAACCGGCAGCTCTCCTCTCTGAGACCGCCCCCGTAAAAGGTTGTAGTCGTTCTCTAAAGTAGAACTCTTGTTTAGGGTTTCTTAGGTGGGATCTATGAGGGTGTCCAAAGGGTTCCTATAAGGTTATATGGGTAGTTCTCTAAAGTAGGGTCCCCTTCAACGGTTCCTTAAAGGGATCTATAAGGATTTCGATAGGGTTTCTATAAGGCTCTAAGGGTTTATAAATTGGGGTCCCTTTTGAGGGCTTAAAACTAGTACGGCACCCGTATGAAGAGGGACCCGAAAAGGGGATGCTAATTTAGAGAACTACCCATATGTTGGGGCTTCCCCGCCTATGTTTCAAAATAAGATGGCAGGGTCGAGGCCCAAGGCAGCTGTTGGAGGGACCTTAATGACAAGAACGGGTTGTGGGCAGATTGACGTAGAAGCGTATATAGGAACCTAAGGACACATCGTTGCATTCCTAGCCTATATGTAGTCCATGAAGAACCCCAACATACCCTGCAACAAGCTGAGCATACCACCCAACAATGACCGGATGAAAGCACTAAATCCCCAAGCCCGAGCCCCAAAACATTAGAGCACCCTACGCCCCACCAGCTTGCACCCTAAACCCTAAACCCTGAACCTCCCAAACCCTACCTGGACCCTGAGGTACCTATCCTTTTTCGAGGTTCCTTGCTGTGGTTTCCTGACTTGAGTCCTTTGCAAGGTAGGTCATTCAGGGTTCAGGTATACCCCAGAACCCTTCAAGCTCCTAAGCTTAGGGTTTGGGTTTAGGGTTTAGGGTTTAGGGTTTAGGGTTTAGGGTTTAGGGAAAACCCAGTCCGAACCCTCAGCTGAGCCGAGATTGTCGGCTACTTGGGGCCAGTCCCCCTTGCCGGCCATGTGGCCACGCTGAACCTGGTGGCTCTGTTTCTCGGTGCATTTTTCAGGGGGTTTAGGGTTCCCTAAACCCTAAACCCTAAACCGTTTCTAACGATTTGCTATCAGGGCTTTGCTCTAGGAGTCTAAAGGCTCTTTGAGCTTAGGGTTGTGTTTTAAGGGTATCATAAAGGAAGTATATCAGGCCAACCATGAGATCTTACTAATATAGGAGTCTTATTATCTACCTATATTATTTTGGGGGGTACCTTATTACAATTAGAGTATAATGGGCCCCAAAACCCTGTTCGAATGATTAAGGCCCCTATATTAGGGCCTGCCTCTTGATTGCTTTGGGCTTCAGATTCACCCAGCTAAAATGATCCCGGCAGGGTCTGCATTGGGCAGTTTGAGAGGCTGGGGTAGTGCAGGATGCGATTTCAGAAAAATCGGCGAACCCCAAACCCTAAACCCTAAACCCTAAACCCTGAACCCTAAACCCTAAACCCTAAACCCTAAACCGTAACAGAGACCCGAAATTGCAGTAAAGCTCCTCATATAAAAGAGCTGGCAGAGGACCCCGAACTCTATTGTAAGCTCCATCTGCTTTGCACCCTAAGCCTTGAAGCCCGAACTCAAGCATAAGTCCTAAACTAAACCCTAAACCCTTTTCCCTCAGACCTAAACCCAGAGAACCCAATACCCCTTACTTAAGGAATATACCTTAAAATCCGAATATTAAGGCCCCTATACTTTAAGGTTTATTCGATAATCAAGGGGTATTGGGTTCTCTAAAACCCTAAACCCTAAACCCTAAACCCTAGACCCTAAACCCTAAACCCTAAACCGTACCGGGGAAACTCGGGGGTCCGCCAGGCTGTTCATGCCTACCATTGCCTTGGGCAATGCCTCCGCCTCCGTGGTCGGCAATGCGATCGGCGCCAAGCTTCCGAGGAAAGCGAAGCCGCGAGGCTGCATTGAGGCTTCCTTTTGAAGAGTTCAGGGCCGAGGGTTTTTTTTTCAAGGGTTTAGGGTTTAGGGGTTTAGGGGTTTAGGGTTTAGGGCTTAGGGTTTAGGGGGTATAGGATGTGGTAATGGACTTAAATTTCTTTGATAACCTTGTAAATCCTAATCTTACATTGAAATTTTTGAAAAGTGTGTGTCTAGTTGATTTGCTGGTCGAGTCGAGGTTCTAGGGTTTAGGATTTTTGGTTTCCCTTTTGAGGTTTCTGTTCAAGGTTTCGTCAGGGTTCCGAGTGGTTTTTAGGATCTCGGGTGCAGATTCTTTTGTCTAGTTTGTCTAGGACATTTTCAGGTGGGTAGTTACCGTTATAGAAGCCTGAAAGAAGGTCTATATAGCTTATGGAAGCCTTATAGAAGCCCTATGAACCCTAAACTCCCCACCTGTAGTTTCCTTTAAGTTTGGGCTCTAGAGTTTAGGCTATAAGCTTCAGGCTTTTAGGGCTTCGAGTTTAGGGTTTAGCGTTTAGGTTTAGGGGGTTTAGGGTTTAGGGTTTAGGGTTCAGTCGGGCTTTAGGGCTTTAGGGTTCAGGGTTCGGGCGTAAACCCCAAACCCCAAACCCCAAACCCTAAACCCCAAACCCTAAACCCTAAACCCTAAACCCTAAACCCTAAACCCTAAACTCCTCAACCCTGGGCTGGCAGCAAAGGTACGGCGCCTGGCTCTGTGTTGGCTTGGATGCTCTGCCACTTGGTGAGCAACCCAGAGACTCCAATGTCCCTTAATTACGGAATATACCTTAAATTTTAGGGTTTAGGGCTTAGGGTTTAGGGTTTAGGGTTGAGGGTTTAGGGTTGAGTATGAGTCATCCCAACTTAAGAACCCCTATATCCTAAATAGTGGTTTGCGCGGAAGAGCCGGCGAGTCCCAGAGGTTTAGGTATCGGGTTGTACCACAGTGATTTAGGGTTTAGGGTATAGGGCTTAGGGTTTTAGGGTTTGAGGGTTTGAGGGTTCAGGGTTTGGGGAGTACCTCAAGCATACATGCCGCGGTTTGCTTTTGGTGGTTCTGAGGGTGTGGTTTTGGGTCCGGCTGTCTTCCGCTAGCTTCCCGAATCTTAGGGTTTAGGGTTTGGGTTTAGGTCCAAACTCTAGACTAAACCCTGCCTCAAGGATGTGGACCGTTTTGGCCGTAATCCTGCTCGTGATGAGGGATTTCGTTCCGAAGCTGCTGACATCCAAAGAAGCCGTACAAGACCTGGTGCAAAAGTGGCTGATCTGCATTTGCGGTTAAGGGGCCGGGGATTTCGTTCAGGTTTGAGGTAGCTATAAAGAGCAGATGTCAATGTCCGCAAAAGGACCGTCTAAGTGAACACTGAGAACCGGAGCCTCCGGCGGCGAATCTTGCTGTGGCAGCCTCCGAACCTAAAGGTACTTCTGAAGGAGCCCAGATGTAGAACGGCGTCCACGCTACGACTGAAAGCTCTGGCTTGCAAAATCAAGGCTCTTGATGATCTACCTGCTCGCCGGATACCCGGACAACATGCAAAACGTCATGGGCGCCACGCTGCCCAGCTGATTTAAGCCCTACTCAAATCCTTGAGCCCTTAACCCCAAACCGTAAGAATCCTAATCCCTAAACCCGAAACCCCAATGAGGTTCACAGGTATGAAGTTGAAGCCGTTTTGCGGTCTGCGAAGCCCTGAAGCCCGAAACGCCCATAAGCTTTGAACCCTGACGACGACTACTACACTACAATTATTATTTTTGCTGCTGTTACTACTACTACTA